ATTTACTAACATCCATGTTAGCAAATGAGCACCTTGTGCCCAAGCAGCCAAGGGCAGCAGCATCCTGGCCTGGATCAGCACCAGTGCGGCAGCAGGGCCAGGGCAGGGATTGTGCCCCTGTACTGGGCACTGGTGAGGCTGAACCTCAAATCCTGTGCTCAGTGCTGGGCCTCTCACTACAGGAGAGACATTGAGGGGCTGGAGCAGGGCCAGAGAAGGGCACTGGAGCTGGTGCAGGGCCTGGAGCCCAAGTGTGATGGGGAAGGGCTGAGGGACCTGGGGGGTTCAGTCTGGAGAAGAGAAGGCTCAGGGGGGACCTGATGGCTGCCTCCAACTGCCTGACAGGAGGATGGAGCCAGGAGGGGCTGGGCTCTGCTCCCAAGGAACAAGGGATGGGACAAGAGGAACCAGCCTCAAGCTGCACCAGGGCAGGTTTAGATGGAGCTGAGGAACAATTCCTGCCGCAGAGGGTGCTCAGGCATTGGAACAGGCTGCCCAGGGCAGGGCTGCAGGCACCGGCCCTGCAAGTGTTCACACAGCGTGGAGACGAGGCCTCAGTGCCATGGGGCAGTGGTGGCCTTGGCAGTGCTGGGAATGGTTGGACTGGAGGAGCTTAAAGGGCTTTCCCAACCTGGGTTATTCCATGATCCTATGATATTAACCCAAAACAAAGCAGCAAGAGGCAGGGCTGGCGGATCCCCACCACACACTGCCCTATTGCCTAGTTCAGTGGGAATAACCTTCCACCTTCATTTGCAGTTGCATTTCCTTGTTTGCAGGAAACAGGTTCCTTGGGGAAAGTGAACTGGAACCTCCATGAGGAACACTGTCTGTGCTGCTGAGGGGCCAGACCAGAGAGGCTGGTGTTAAACTATCCAGGGAATGCATAAATTCCTGTGTGATGACATGGAGAACTGAGGGTGGGGGGGAAGTGATGGGAGCTCCCAAAACATCACATCTGAAACGGAAATCCCACTTTGATCCAGCCATCTCCAGGCTGAACAAAGGCAAATGGCTTTCTGTGGAGCCCATGAGCAACTGGCCTTGTCCTCTCTTTTACACTGAGAGGCAGATGGAATAACTGACCTCCTGCAACCCTTCTCCCTCTGTTCCCTAAGCTCCTTTAATGGGGAAGAAGAAAACCAGTGCAACACCCAGGGATCAATAATCCCTACAAAACCCTGCTGCCGGTGCTGGGAATCCCAGCTGCCACCCTGTAAAGGCAAGGAGAGGAGGCGAGCGCAAATTGGGATGCAGGGAGGCATAATGCTCTCATTTACACTCCATAAGGTTGCTAGGTTATGGATTTTTGGGGGCATAAGCTGAAAGGGGATCCAGATGGCTCGAAAGCCTTGTGGTGGAAAAGCAGCGTGAGGCCAGAGAGGGAAGAATTCCTCTTTATGCTGCTGCCGGCTGCTCCCAGATCCTGGATTTCAGCGCTCAGGAATGCTCTCCACACAGACCCTTCCCATGGCATCCTTTCTCTCTACAGTAGAAGCTAAGGAGAAGAGGTAGCTGGATGCAGAAGGGTCTGGATATGGAGAAGAGTCACTCAAGCAATTCCTAGTGAGGAGCTCGGCAAGGGCTGTATTTTAGGATGCTGAGGCCATGAAAAAGCCTTCAGGAAAAGCCAAACCAACCCAGAGCTCATCCTGCTGGGAATTTACACTAATGCCACGTCACTGCCACTGCTTGCTTTTCCTAATCCTCCCAGCAAAAGGAGCCTGTGCAGCCTGCCAGCCCTTCCCTGCTTCCAACAGAACTGCCTTGTGGGGAGGGATGTTTTTAATTGCTCCTTCTCCTCTGCTAACAGAATCCAGGAGGATTTTGCCACACTTCAGAACCCAGCTAAAAGCCCTCCCCGGAGCCATATGGATACAGGACACAAACTGCTTCACTCCCGTGGGATCCACACAAGGAAAGGTGGCTGCAAGGATTGTAAACCCCTCAAAACTGAGCTTGGGAATGGAAAGTGGAAGTTTTCCACTCCCAGATTGCAAAGCCAAGTGCTATAACCTCGCTGCTTGATGGAGATAAATAGGCATGAACCCAATGTATGCACCTCCTATGCTGTCACACAGGGCTCAGCACTGATGGTGATCCCATGGGATCATCCTTCTTCCATGCTCTCCCTGAACTCATGGCCTCACCTTAGTGGGATGGAGAACATGAAAGGAGCTTAAATTCAGGGGTAGCAGCACCCTGTGGGTGTGTAATCTGGAAGCAATGGATAACCACACATGAACTGTCAGCATCAGACACCAGCACCAAGAACCTGGCTTCTTAGATGGGTTTCATAGAACAATAGAATAGATTGGGTTGGAAAGGACCTTAAGATCATTCAGTTCCAACCTCCCTGCCATGGGCAGGGACACCTCACACTAAACCATCTCACCCAAGGCCTCGTCCAACCTGGTCTTGAACACTGCCAGGGATGGAGCATTCACAACCTCCCTGGGCAACCCATTCCAGTGCCTCACCACCCTCACAGGAAAGAACTTCTTCCTTAGATCCAATCTAAACTTCCCCTGTTTCAGTTTTAACCCATTACCCCTTGTCCTGTCACTACAGTCCCTAATGAAAAGTCCCTCCCCAGCATCCTTATAGCCCCCCTTCAGATACTGGAAGGCTGCTCTGAGGTCTCCACGCAGCCTTCTCTTCTCCAGGCTGAACAGCCCCAACTTTCTCAGCCTATCTCCACACAGGAGGTGCTCCAGCCCCTGATCATCCTCGTGGCCTCCTCTGGACTTGTTCCAACAGCTCCATGTCCTTTTTATGCTGAGGACACCAGAACTGCACACAATGCTCCAGGTGAGGTCTCACGAGAGCAGAGCAGAGGGGCAGGATCACCTCCTTTGACCTGCTTGTTTCTCAGAGTTTGAGCCCTTAAATCAGTAAAACCCCAAGTCCGGGATGTGCTGCTGCTAAAAACCCAACCAGCTTCCAAGCAGGTTACCTAAAGCTTGCGTTTCTCTTGCAGCTGACCGACCAAAACCTGCTGAATGCTTCCCAAGTGCTTCAGAGCTACTGGGGCTTCCTCAGGCAGCGAGGCTAAAACACACCAAAGCATCTCTTAGGCACGGAATAGTTTGGTGTCAGATCTTTACACATTCCCAGGCACTGAATCGCCCTCCTAGAAGGCAAAATAGATGAGTGGCACTAAGGAGGCAGCTTAGCAACGAGCAGGCAGAGCGTCTGCTTAAAGGTCAAGAGAGCACTCGATGCCGGGAGCCCTCGTGTTTGGTTTTACTACGAGGTAAGGAGGCTTCCAGGGAGCCTGGTTATTAAATACATAGAACCATGGAATGGTTTGGGGTGAAGGGGCCTTAAAGCTCCTCCAGCTCCAACCCCTGCCACAGGCAGGGACCCCTTCCACTGGAGCAGCTTGCTCCAAGCCCCTGTGTCCAACCTGGCCTTGAGCACTGCCAGGGATGGGGCAGCCACAGCTTCTCTGGGCACCCTGTGCACCAGCATCATTTAGAACCAGTCTTTAAAGCCAAGAGTTTCCCCTCCTCAGACATCATTATCCATCCTTCCAACCCATTCCTACCCATCTTCTCCAAAACCCTGGCATTTGAGGGGAAAACCCGTGTCGAGACGAAACACAAAGAAAGGTCCCACCCCTGTGGGGATTTTAGGGCAGCATCATCAAGAAGCATCATTGAAATTCCAGGGGAGAAGGCAGTTTTCCTCCGCTCCACAGGGAATGCCATGTTAAATCACATTTGGATTCACAGAACAAGGCTGCTAAAACCCCACCGCGGCGTCTATTGGCACATTTCAATGAAAACACCGTGGCCTCATTAGTATAGTGGAAATTATGAGCTTGTCTTTGTGTATATTTCAAAGCTTGCCTCTGAAAGTAGGTTGGGTCAGGGCCAGGAATTCCTGGCCTGGAGCTGCCACACTCAGCACTTGGGGATTGCGTGGCTCACACAGGTCAAGCGGCCCTGCAGCCACTGACCCAGGAGAAAGGGCATTTAAATCATACCCTGTGGGGAAAGGCTCAGGGCAACATTGGGAGAGGAGGCAGAGCAACAGGGTTTGAAGTGAAGCCTCCTCCAGCTCAGCCCCATGCATGGTTTTCCTGGTGAGCACGCCCTAATGAAAGCACAGACTGTGATTAAGAGGATGCAGGAATGTGGGTGTGTGGAGTTTCACCCTGCTCCCACTGCTCCAAACAGCCAGGGTGAGAGCATCCCATCGACCAAAAAGCTCTGTTACCTTCTGGGAACCCCAGCCTGGTTTGTGATGGAAGGGAGCTGAAAGCTCCTCCAGCTCCAACCCCTGCCACGGGCAGGGACCCCTTCCACTGGAGCAGCTTGCACCAAGGCCCTGTGTCCAACCTGGCCTTGAACACTGCCAGGGATGCGATCTGATCAAGTGAGTCCAGAGGGGGATGCTGCGAGGGCTGGAGCAGCTCTGCTCTGGAGCCAGGCTGAGAGAGCTGGGCTGGGGCAGCCTGGAGAAGAGAAGGCTCCTGAAGGGGAGACCTTAGAGCAGCTCCAGTGCCTAAAGGGGCTGCAGGAAAGCTGGAGAGGGGCTTGGGACAAGGGCCTGTAGGGACAGGCCAAGGGGAATGGCTTGAACCTGCCCGAGGGGAGACTGAGCTGAGCTCTTAGGCAGAAGCTCTTCCCTGTGAGGGTGCTGAGGCGCTGGCACAGGGTGCCCAGAGAAGCTGTGGCTGCCCCATCCCTGGTAGTGCTCCAGGTCAGGTTGGACACAGGGGCTTGGAGCAAGCTGCTCCAGTGGAAGGGGTCCCTGCCCGTGGCAGGGGTTGGAGCTGGAGGAGCTTTAAGCTCCCTTCCAACCCAAACCAGGCTGGGATTCTATGATCTATAACTTGTTTGTAAGTAGAAACAGAATGGGCCACGAAAGCCCAAATCCTTCGCCATAAGAGGCAGCCTCATGAAACAATACCTTTTGCAGGACCTGCTCCTCTCAAGATGGGACTTGCAGCCTCTCTCAAGTAAAAGCTTTCAGCTTAGCTCCCTACTTACCCGCACGGGCGCCGCAACGCAGCCACGCCACACAAACCCAAGGTATCTCCTGACAGCTACTGCGGTTTGGGACCAGGGATGCTGGAAAGAAAGAAAAAAGAACCCTAATATTGCACAAAAATACAGAGGGAGGGAGGGAGAAGATGAAGATCTTGGGTTTAAACCCTTGGATTCACAAAGGCTCCTATAAATCGTTTCAGCTCTTAGTAACAGCACAGAGATCCCCTTTGAAAGCGCATCGATGACGTTACGCAGCACAGAAAGAAAAGGGGGGGGAAGGCACGGCTAATCCTCGTAATTTTATAAGCATCGAAGACACTAATCCCTTGATCTCATTGAACAGGATTAGAATTACTCCCTCCCCAGTAAATGGACGAAGTTTTCGACCAAATGGAAACAAAAGCAGAGAGGAGCCTGCAGAGCCGGTGCCACACAGCGAGAGCTCACCCAGCAGTGCTCACCAGGGCTGCGTTTGGGGTGGAACAGAACTGAGCTGCTTCAAAAGGAGCGCGAGCAGCAGGTCATGGAGGGGGTTCCACCCCCCTGCAGCCCTGATCCAGCTCTGGGGCAGCAGCACAAGAGGGACGTGGAGCTGTTGGAGCGAGGCCAGAGGAGGCCATGGAGATGCTGCGAGGGCTGGAGCAGCTCTGCTCTGGAGCCAGGCTGAGAGAGCTGGGCTGGGGCAGCCTGGAGAAGAGAAGGCTCCTGAAGGGGAGACCTTAGAGCAGCTCCAGTGCCTAAAGGGGCTGCAGGAAAGCTGGAGAGGGGCTTGGGACAAGGGCCTGGAGGGACAGGCCAAGGGGAATGGCTTGAACCTGCCCGAGGAGAGACTGAGCTGAGCTCTTAGGCAGAAGCTCTTCCCTGTGAGGGTGCTGAGGCGCTGGCACAGGGTGCCCAGAGAAGCTGTGGCTGCCCCATCCCTGGCAGTGCTCAAGGCCAGGTTGCACACAGGGGCTTGGAGCAAGCTGCTCCAGTGGAAGGGGTCCCTGCCCGTGGCAGGGGTTGGAGCTGGAGGAGCTTTAAGCTCCCTTCCAAGACAAACCAGGCTGGGACTCTACAATGCACTCAAAACCCCCTCCCCGCTCTGTGCAATCCTTCTCACTTTGCATGGCCATCACCATGCCCATCCTCAAAAGTCCCATCTTTTGTCTCAGACACCAAGTGCGATGCTGGGGCTGAACCCAACACTTCTCAGCTCCAAAGTGAAAGAAAAGAACCCCTACCCTGCAGCTGAGCTGACAACCACGAGCAGGAAGCAGCCCCGGGGGAAGCCCAGCTGGCAATGGGTCTTCACACAGAACAATGGAAAACGAGAGGCTTTAAAGCCCCAGGAAATATTTGCCTGTCCCAGACAGAGCTCTGGGTGGAGAGAAGTTTAATTCAGTCCTTACGGGAATGCTGGTGCTCCTTCCCATCCGATTTTAATGGGATATTGGTCTTCATTCTTTCTCTTACCTATGGGACTGCAGCTCCTGCCCTCAAAGGGGTTGACCAAAGAGCCAAACCCTCCTGCTTCCACCCCTGATGGGAATCTTCACAGCCCCATAGCTCTTATGTTCCCTCCTAAAAGCTCCTCCAAGCCAAGAAGTTGGGAATACCACGGTTGGTTAAGGGCAGGGAGAGGGTAATGGAGTGATGGCTGAAACGAGGAGGGCAGCAGCTCTCCCTGCTCAGCACTTTCAGTTTCTCTCCTGCAGACAAGCTCCTGCTGGTTTCCTCTAAGGCGCTTTGGGAGTTAAAAGCTTATTAACAGCAAGATTAATGCTGCACAGGGATAAAAACAGATAATCACAGGATCATTTAGGTTGCAAAAGACCTTTAAGATCATCAAGTCCAACCATTAATGCAGCACCCCCAAGCCACCACTCAATCATGTCCCTCAGTGCACATCTCACATCTATTAAACACCCCCAGGGACGGTGCCTGCAGCCCTGCCCTGGGCAGCCTGTTCCAATGCCTGAGCACCCTCTGGGGCAGGAATTGTTCCTCAGCTTCATCTAAACCTGCCCTGGTGCAGCTTGAGGCCGGTTCCTCTTGTCCCATCCCTTGTTCCTTGGGAGCAGAGCCCAGCCCCTCCTGGCTCCATCCTCCTGTCAGGCAGTTGGAGGCAGCCATCAGGTCCCCCCTGAGCCTTCTCTTCTCCACACTGAACCCCCCAGGTCCCTCAGCCCTTCCCCATCACACTTGTGCTCCAGGCCCTGCACCAGCTCCAGTGCCCTTCTCTGGCCCCGCTCCAGCCCCTCAATGTCTCTCTTGTAGTGGAATGAACACAGGATTCGAGGTTCAGCCTCACCAGTGCCCAGTGCAGGGGCACAATCCCTGCCCTGGCCCTGCTGCCGCACTGGTGCTGACCCAGGCCAGGATGCTGGGGGCTTCTTGGCTGCCTGGGCACAAGCTGCTCATGGTCAGCTGCTGTCAACCAACTCCAGACAACCAAAACACCCCCTAACACACACGACCACAGCACCTTTCTGGGTGGAAAAGCCTCAATTCCTCCATGACCATTCTCAGGGCTTTCTGTGGTTTCTAACACATCAACAGCCCTTGTGTCCTTGCTGCTGCATGCATCTCCATCCCCTGCCTCCACTCAGACAGGACCTCTCTAGCACACTGTAAACCAACCCATGATCAAAAGAAACTCCCAAAGAAACCACGAGAGTTATTCCTGGTGCTTCCCACATTCATAGCCCAGCAGCTGAAGCAAAAAGACACCAATGAAAGGACCAGAGCCCGGCCCTCACTCATCCTCCTGCTCTCAGCATCTTGGCCACTTTTTCCAAAGGCTGATCCAGTTTTAGCTCTGGTGTTGGAGCAACCTGAGACCTCCGAGCCTCCGGATCTGCCGAGGCAGCTGCTTGCAACTGATCTGATCCCTGAGCTCTGGCACCAGCTCCTGCTGCCCATCCACGCATCAGTACAGATCCTTTTCCTCCTCCTGGAGGCACAGGGTCATCCATCCTCCACAAGGAGGCTTTTCCTCTCCTGCCATCACTCATCCCTACCTTGGAGGCTCCACAGCTGCTCTGCCCTCACCACTGATGCTATTGCTGGTATCCCTTTGAGGTGCTGTGGGTAGATGTTCTTTCCTCCCATTGACATCCCTCTGGCACCACAATCAGTTCAGTGACAGGACACAGGAGCCCTTTACACGTGGTTGGAGCTGTTCAGGTTTCTTTTCATGGATGGAAATCAAATGCACAATACAGGGAGTAAAGAGACACACTGGATGGCCCATGACACTGCCTTGGGGTCTGGAGAGCATCTAAATCCAATACACCTCCATCCCTAGGGAACACATGGGTACCACGGCATCCTGGAATGGGATGGGGAAAATGGTTTTGCTCCAACCTGATGTGCCTGATGGAGAAGATCATAGAATGGTTTGTGTTGGAAGGGAGCTTAAAGCTCCTCCAGCTCCAGCCCCTGCCACGGGCAGGGACCCCTTCCACTGGAGCAGCTTGCTCCAAGCCCCTGTGTCCAACCTGGCCTTGAGCACTGCCAGGGATGGGGCAGCCACAGCTTCTCTGGGCACCCTGTGCCAGCGCCTCAGCACCCTCACAGGGAAGAGCTTCTGCCTAAGAGCTCAGCTCAGTCTCCCCTTGGGCAGGTTCAAGCCATTCCCCTTGGCCTGGCCCTACAGGCCCTTGTCCCAAGCCCCTCTCCAGCTTTCCTGCAGCCCCTTTAGGCACTGGAGCTGCTCTAAGGTCTCCCCTTCAGGAGCCTTCTCTTCTCCAGGCTGCCCCAGCCCAGCTCTCTCAGCCTGGCTCCAGAGCAGAGCTGCTCCAGCCCTTGTAGCATCTCCATGGCCTCCTCTGGACACACTCCAGCAGCTCCACGTCCCTCTTGTGTTGGGGGCAAAGATGCTGAGGTTTCCCCATTCCTCAAGTGAGGAACCAAATGCTCACCAGTACCATGACACCACCGGGGTTTCTCATCCTCTCCTCGAGTACGTTTTCCATAGGATTACCAGCACTTCCCAGCCAATCGAAAGGTTCCCACCGGGGTCAGGCTGAGCTCATGGGCTGATAAAGCCCCACATGGCATCATCACTGATGTCATTCCCAATCAGTGCTATTAGGGTGGGGACAAGGGCAGGACGGGCACTCCTGACACAAAGTCTGAGTGGGTTCAGGCCAATGTCACAGCTAGGAAGGGGCAGGGAGGGAAGTGTGGGCATGGCAGATGTTATCTTATGTCAACAACACCCCGTGTTAGAGCACAGGCAACGAAACCAAACAGAAACAGAGCTCAGCTGCACCAAACACAGCCAGACCATGGGGGCTGAAGAGCAGGGGAAGCTTCAAAGTCAATACACCACCCTTCAGGGTTTGACACCAATGGGCCCAAGGTGGGTGAAGACCACCAGAGCATCGCACCTCCTGCCCCGGCCTGGTAAATGGGGCTGTCTCCGGTTATAGTGCAGGTGGGTGACACAGGAGGAGTGTGACCCGGTGGGAGAGGACCTTCTCCCAGGGGAGCCAGGCCCTGCCAAGCCCAGAGGCACATCCAGCCAGGCTTCCCTTGGCCTTTTCAACATCCAGCTGCTGGTTTATGGCTGCATCACTCCCAACACATCCATCCTCTGCCTTACAGCCAATGTGAAGGAGATGGACGGGTTGCTGGGAAGGATGACCCAAGATGGGACATGTGGAGAGGTGGTCCATGAGCATGAAAGCTCTCCTAGCAAAGCTGGGTGCACTTGTATCACCCCACACATGTCCACACAGGGAGAGCAACAAATCCCAGACTGGTTTGTGTTGGAAGGGACCTTAAAGCTCACCCAGTTCCAACCCCTGCCACAGGCAGGGACCCCTTCCACTGGAGCAGCTTGCTCCAAGCCCCATTCAACCAGGCCTGGATCCCACCAGTCCTCCTGGCTGCGTCAGCCATGCAGGGTTGGAAGGATTTCCTTTGTGTCTGTTAAATACCTCAGCTGGAGCATTTTGGGTTCCTTCCACCTCGCCCCCAAGCACTTCTTCTGTCAGGGGCTATATCCTTCCTTGGAGGCAAAAGCCTGCTGCTTCTCCAGGCTGAAGGCCAAGTCTAGGTTTAAGTTTTGCTCCAGATGGCACAGCACCCTGGATGCATCAGCTGGAGCATCCAACCTGGCTGAATAATGTAATAGAGCAAATAACCTGATTTACTCAGGGGCTGTTTGACATGCTCAAGGTCACTCTGTTTACACCCACTGTAGCACAGAAGTGTTAATGTGAACTCAGGCTACGAGCCTGCTGTCAAACTGAACTCAAACAGCAGCGGGATCATAGAACCCCAGCCTGGTTTGTCTTGAAGGGAGCTTAAAGTTCATCCAGTCCCAGCCCCTGCCACAGGCAGGGACCCCTTCCACTGGAGCAGCTTGCTCCAAGCCCCTGTGTCCAACCTGGCCTTGAGCACTGCCAGGGATGGGGCAGCCACAGCTTCTCTGGGCACCCTGTGCCAGCGCCTCAGCACCCTCACAGGGAAGAGCTTCTGCCTAAGAGCTCAGCTCAGTCTCCCCTCGGGCAGGTTCAAGCCATTCCCCTTGGCCTGGCCCTACAGGCCCTTGTCCCAAGCCCCTCTCCAGCTTTCCTGCAGCCCCTTTAGGCACTGGAGCTGCTCTAAGGTCTCCCCTTCAGGAGCCTTCTCTTCTCCAGGCTGCCCCAGCCCAGCTCTCTCAGCCTGGCTCCAGAGCAGAGCTGCTCCAGCCCTCGCAGCATCTCCATGGCCTCCTCTGGCCTCGCTCCAACAGCTCCACGTCCCTCTTGTGCTGCTGCCCACAAGGAAAGGAAAACGCTCATTTTGCTGTCAAAGCCTCAGGTCTGAGCCTGGACCTGCCTTTATTTCACCGTCCTCTGTCCCCCAAAGCCGCTGCTGGCAGCGAGTTGAGCAACTCAGGCTTGAAGCTCTCCCTGTCTGTGGCAGCAGCAGGGCTGTTTCAGTGTGTGCTGCTCGGCGCCCACAGCCCTGCTCACCCAGGGAGGACACCAGAGGACACACACAGAGGATGCTCCAGTTTCGCTTCTGGCTAATGCGTCCCGTTTCTGGGAAGCTGCTGCATCCCCTTGGCCCAGCCTGCAGCTGGGATAGGCTCCCTGCAAGCTGAATCACCTACAACAACCCAGACAGAGAAATAAAGGGTACCATCAGCCGTCGGAGGAGCTGGTTTCTGTGTGTGGACACACAAAACACTGCCCGAAACCAGCTGAGCCCGCAGCCGCTTGGAAACAAAGGGATGAAGGGGCTCCCTTCAGAGCATCCCCGGGCTCCGAGAGCCCAGAGACAAAGGAAAACCAGGAGGCAGCCGGGGAAAACCGGGGTGAGGAGGAGGAGGAGGAGGCAGCATCACATCAGGCGCCGGAGCCGGGCTCGCGTGTTGCCGAACACGTTATCCATGGCAGGAAACTCGGGATCAAAGGAGCGGAGCGTGCCAGAGCAAGATGTCATCCCCACCGCCTGCCAAAGGTGCGCTGGGGAGCAGGGAACAACCCCTCCCAATGCACACCGGTGCTTCCCAAGGGTCCAGCACCGCTTCCAGGCTATGGGACCCATGGAGATACTCTCTTCCATGCACAACAAGGAGGAGCTGACCTAACCCGAAGCAACCCTCACAAAGGGCATTTTTACCCCTTGGATTCCAGTCCCATAGGATCCCACATGCATCCCCTTCCAAAGTGGGCACAGTGTGGATACTGGGAGCGCTCGGGACGTGCCTGTGCAGCAGGAACAGCAGCTCCGGGTAACTCCCAAAGCAGCTTGTCCCATTCCTGAAGCCAAAGAAACCCACGGCGCCCTGTCCTGGCCCTCGGAATGCAAAGGGATGTGCCTGGTAACAAACAGGGAATGGGACGATCCACGGACCCCCAGCCAAATGTGGGGTGGGACCCATAGGAGCTCCCCTTATAAAGGGGGTCCAGGTGGGGTGGGAGATGCTCCTTGTCCCTTTCACTATCCCAGCCTCTTCCAATGTCACTGCTGGGTGACACTGCCCCATGTCACAGCCTGCTGCCCCTTCCTCTGCCCCACAAGTAGGGACTTTATGGGTCCTAAATGGCACCTTATGGCACAGCTATAGGGGTGCCAGCCACCCCAATGGTACACCCAGGCACTGCCCTATGTGGGGCAGAAGGGACAGGCTTTGCCCTGCAAGCCCCATTTCCCTCTGGAGGTGCCTGCCCCATAGGGGACTGTGGAGCCAAGGGAGGGCAGCCTGTCCCCATGGAGAGTGCTGAAGGGGAGTTCCCCTGCCCCACAGAGGGCCTAAAGGAAGGTCCCAGCCCCACAGAACAGTTCACAAGATCCTTGCCCCACTGGGGTGCTGAAGAAGGGGTCCTGCCCCATAGAGCAGTGCATAAGAAGGGCCCTACCCCACGGAGCTGCTGAAGAACGGGTCCTATCCCATAGAGCAACGCACAAGGAAGGGCCCTACCCCACAGAGGTGCTGAAGGAAGGGCCCTGCCCCATAGCACAGTGCACAAGGAAGGTCCCTGCCCCATAGAGTGGTGCGAAGCAAGAAGGTCGCTGCCTCACAGGGCTGCTAAGAGAGATCCTGCCCCACAGAGCAGCGCACCAGGAGGGGCCCTACCCCACAGAGGTGCTGAAGAAGAGACCCTGCCCCACAGAACACGAACAGGGAGAGGTCGGTGCCCCACAGAGGCGCTAGAGGAGGGTCCCTACCCCACAGAGCGGTTCACAGAGAAGCCCCAACCCCATAGGGTGCCGGAGGGGGGGCTCTGCCCCACAGGACAGCGCACACGGAGAGGCCGCTGCCCCATAGCGGCCCACAGGGGAGCCCCGGGTCCTCCGGCCCCCCAGGGGGCTCCCGCCGCCGCCCCGCACTCACCCGCCGCTGTCCCGCCGAGGCTCGCGCCGCCCGCACTGCCCGGCGGCGGGGAGGGACCCGGATGGAGCCGGCCCCGCCCCCGGCCATGGCCCCGCCCCCTGCCCGCCGACGGGCCCCGCCTCAGCGCCCCCTCCTGCGCCTGCGCGGGGCGGGCTGCGTCGTGACGTCACGGCGGGGGTGGGGAGGGAGGGGAGTGCTGCGCCATTGGGGGCCATGGGGGGAGATGGGGGGACGTATGGGGCTATGGGGGACATAAGGGGACATGAGGACATGAGGGACATAGGGGGACAGGGGGAGGCATGAGGGACATGGGGGGACATGGAGCCAGGAGGAACATGGGGGGACTTAAGGGACATATGGGGATGGGGGGACACTGGGATGGGGTGGCAGTGGTGAGGTGTAATAGGGCAGGAGATGGCTGTGGGGACAGGGAGAGCAGATAAGGATGGGACTGGGAGAGGGAGGTGGCTGGGAATGGGCTGTGGGGACAGGAGGTGACAATGGGGACATGGAGAGGGGGACAGGAGGTGACGGGACAGGGGCTGTGGGGACAGGAGGTGACAATGGGGACAGTGGCACCAAATACAGGGGCATGATGTAGTGGGGATGTGAGGTGACTGGGGACAGGAGGTGGCAATGGGGACATGGAGAGGGGGACAGGAGGTGACTGGGAACAGGGGCTGTGGGGACAGGAGGTGACAATGGGGACATGGAGAGGGGGACGGGGGCTGTGGGGATGGGAGGTGTCAGTGGGGGCCGGAGGTGGCACTGGGGACAGGGATGGGGGTGGCAGTGGGTGAGGATGGGGACAGGGCATGGCAATGGTGACAGAGGAGATGATGGGTGGTGGCAGTGGGGCTGAGAGGGGGCAGGAGGTGGAACCATCGTGGTCATCACCAGCAGGGTGCATGAGGGGAGAAGGACCCATCTGTACCCCATCAGTGTCACCATAGGATCATGGCATGGTTTGGGCTGGAAAGGACCTCGAAGCTCATCCAGTTCCAACCCATCTCATCGCTTATGGCATCCTGGAGTGGCCCCCAGCCAGCATCACCTGCCTGGGACAAGCTCTCACCCGGGCAGGCAGGAGGAGAGAGCCCATCCTGCACCTCCATAGCCAGGATCTGCATCCCGAGGGAACAGGAACCGAGCGATGCGATGGTGACAGTGCCCATCTGTGCATGGCTCTGAGCCCTGCAGCCAGGATGCTCCTATGGAGCCA